AATTTGGATTTGCAGATTCGTATGCACTCCAGCAATCAGCTGTGAATAATGAATAACAATTAATTAACTAACATGTTTAAGCAATGATAATTAAATAAGTTTGTGGGATAACATAGATTCTATGGTGCCGTCGTTGTTCTTTGTTTAACTGCCATGGGCAACTTAAAGAGGTTTTCCCCTTTCATGTAATTATCAACTCTTGATTAATTTTATCTTGTATCGCAGGATTTGGGACCAACCTTTCTAAACATTTATATAGGTCATTCATGACTTCTTGATCTTTCTCAACCTCTGGATTGGAATAAAAAAACTCTGAGTTCAAAAAATATCCAGCTGTATGCAAAGGCCGATGCAATTGAACTTCCCACGTTTGGTCAATGATTTCAAAGATGTGTTTGTACTTCTATGCATTGCCATTAAAAGAATTAGCAATTGCTTCTTTAGCCCGGTCTATAGCTTCATAAATGTACCTCATGGGAGGTTTCTTCTCACCATCAACCAATCGAAACACACGAACAAGAGGGCCTATAAGCTTAAGAGAGTAGACAACATTACTCTAAAATGAAGGCATTAAAATGATTTGTGCTGTCCTTTTACCTTGTTCTTTTGCACATTTACTTGTAGTCCATTCTTTTGAAGTGAACATTTTTCTCAAATTACCTTTTTATTGGTTGATCCTTCTTAGAGTAAGAAAAGCCGTAGTAAATCTAGTTTTTGCGGGCTTAATCAGCTCCTTTAACTGGGTAAATCGTCTCATCATATTTAACAGAGTTGGGCGGTTATAAATATAACCGTGTAATGCTATTCCTCTCTCAAATGTTCTCTTGAAGTTTGGCAACTTGAAGATCTGGCATCCAATATAGGTTTGCCTTCAAAAATTTTCCTATTAAACAAAGATTTTTTATCAACTAGTGTACATAAAAAAATTCAATATAACAAGTAGTTATCTTTCTTTTTCAAGAAGCTCATACCTGCTAACACATTTGCTGCCGCACTGTCAGTGACAATTTGGACTGCATTAGCTTCATTAATACGCTCCACAAAAATTATCAAGCAATTCATACATTTTTTGCGCATCCTTTGAGTATGCAGAAGCATCAACGGATTCAAAGAACATTGTCCCTTTTGGACAATTCACTAAGAAATTAATCAAGGTTCTCCCTCTCTTGTCAGTCCATCCATCGACCATTATGGAACATCCATATTTTGCCCAATCCTCTTGGTGATCTTTCATCAATGACTTGATATGCCCTATTTCTTTTTTGAGCAATGGGACCCGAATGTCATAGTAAGAAGATGGTTTCAAACGAGGACCATAATGTCCAATAGCTTCAAACATTACTATAAAACCTTCATAGTTCACAATATTAAAGGGAATTCCCGCGTCATACATCCGTCGGGCAAATGCTATGATGGCTCTTTCTCTCATTTCCTTTTTAAAAGGATCGTTGACATCAATCTTCGTTTGTCTCCCCTTGGTCTTTCGATTTTGCACAACATTCGGATCAACGGTGAAGTATACATCCATAGGCCTTTGTGTCTTGGCTTTTTTGGTCTAGATGTGGCTTGTGTAGAACCTTGACTAAAACTAGCCATGGATCTTTTACGATACGCAACAATCTCTACAATATCATCTTCATCCTCCAAGTTATTAGGCATCTTATCAAAGTTGAGAACCATGTTCATTAGATTCTTCTCTTCCTTTTTTTTAGTCGTGCATTCTCTAATCTCCTCCCTAAGATGAGCAGGGCATTTTGGACAAGTAATAACACTCGTAGAGTTCCCCGCAAGGTGTTGCTCGACCCGATAGACACCTCTATTTGACACTTTTCCACAAAAATTGTATTTGAACTTGTTTGGGTTTTGAGGATTTACCAAGTGTGCATATTTCAATGCTGGATCTTTTTTGTTCCCTTCGGACGACAATGTCATTTATTTGTTTATGAATGACACTATCACACCACAATCAAAGGAACAAAATAGTACAAAAAATCAGCAAAAAAAACAGAAGCAGAATTAGCACTAGGGTGGACCAGAGAGTTTGTCAATTGCAACTGTTTTTGTAAGAAGGTGTTGTGTTATTGTTAAAGTATATCAACCATAGTTTTTTTTGTAAATCTATTTTTATGTACATTCGTGGGCTTATACACATGTACTGAATCACATTTCATAACAGTTGTAAACAATTTCATATTGACCTGACAGCAAAATAGAAGTAGAATCAAGACAGCAAAACAGAAGCAGAATCATGACAGCAAATAAAAAAATAGAAGCAGAATCATGACAGCAAAATAGAAAAATAGAAGCAGAATCATGACAGCAAAATAGAAAAATAGAAGCAGAGCAACACTATCTGAACAGAAAAATAGAAGCAGAATCAGAACAGCAAAACAACAAGAAAAAATAGCAGAATCAGAAAAAAACAGGAGCAGAATCAGAAAAAAAAAAAAACAAAAAAAAAAGAACCAGAAGAAAAGAAAAAAAAGAGAAATAGAAGAGAGAAGAAAAAGATGAGACCAACCTGTGATCAACGAGGAAGGAGCAACGATCAGTGAGGAAGGAACAACAATCATCGTCATCGTCTGATGAACGAGGAAGGAGCAGTCCGTCCAGCGGTTGTGTCTGTCCAGGGATCGTGTAGGACCAATGAAGCCAATTTGAGCAAAATTAGGGTTTGGGGGCTATATTTATGGGATAAGGGGATAATTCGGTATATTAACATCTTATAATTTTTTTTTCAATTGCTCAATCGAACGGTTCATAAAAAAAATAAAACAACTTCGCCTTGCATGACTAAGGCGTTCACTTTCTCGCCTTTCACTTAAGCAAAAGACACTCATTTTTCTTGCTTCAGCCACATTCGCTTCGTTTTGCTTTTCGCCTAGGCAAACTTTTCAAAACACCGAGGTAACCCGATTTCAACCCGAGCTTGCCTAAAATCAACTCGGGCAATACTCTAGTTGAGTATCTCGGGTTGAGGTCGGGGTAGCATTAGGGTTAGGCTTAGGGTTAGGCTTGATGATTTTATACCTAAGATTAGGCTAGGGTTAATTACTTAACCCGCCCAAGTTACACTCCTAACTAACAGACATTCACGTACTGAGAGATTGTGAAAGTTTACTTTTTGTAATAGATTGGCCACAGAAGGAAGACAATAAGAATCGTTGGGTCACTGAGCTGATTTAGTTCATTATCTAGGACTGATTGGGATTTGAATAGTGCAAACTCTGTTAAATATTAGTGTTTTTGGTTTGCAATTGAATGTTTATTGATATTGACCAAAATTTATAGTTTTGCCCAAAGATAATTACTGAGTACCAATGACAAATGGGTCGTTGCTTAATTAAAATTTACAATAGGAATTGTGTCATTTTGTGAATATCTAGGGGCCCAAGGCTCTCTTGCCAAAACTCAATTCTATAAATAGAGACTCCGAGGCAATGAGCAAATCGTGGAGGAAAAAGGAAGAAAGAGAGGGAGGAAGGAAGGTATAGAAAGAGAGAAAAAAGAAAGAAACAAAAATTGCGAGATTTTGGGAAGAAAATAACAAGATTTTGGGTTCAAAATGAGATGGTGATTTTAGTCTCAAAGTCTATAAAAGTTGCTATATTGTTATTAGAATGATGGTTATCAAATTTATTGATATCAATTGGTGATTGGAGATACGAGGTAATATATAATATACTCATGTCTTTCAAATCTCTTTATAAAGAGTGTCTTTTGACTATCTGAAATTTGTATTTCTATTGATTATTCTAATTGTTATGAAATTCTATTACTTTTATTGGTTGACTTGTATTTTGGTCTAAATACTTTGGGATTGATTGGTACATGTACGAAGTGTATTTTGAGCATAATTGGTGAAATGTGATTATGGTCCTATGGGGTGCGATTGTGATTACAGCTCTGCGGGGTATGATTGGTTAGTATGAGTATAAATTTTTATGTCCAAGTGTCACTTGTTATGTCACCAAGAGGAATCGAGTATTAGGCTTTATTTGATAGCAGCTGAGCTAGGTGGCATGTCCAATTTGATTGATGATCTCATTGTTCATGTTTTTTATCATTTGAATTAGTTGGTATTAGATCATTCGTATCTTTGTTTATCATTGAGCATGTTGTTTTTCCAGTCGTATTGTATACTTCCCTGCTTTTAATATTTTTCAGGTTAATTTGAAAGGAAAAGACCAGAGTTGATATTTGAGGAATCAAAGATGGACGAATTTTGATATAATTTTTAACTTTTATTTGTATTTGGAGATAAAAAATGTGATTGTAATTTTTATTGAGGTAATTAGAGCTCTGATCTAATATTTGAAGATGTTTATTTAGAGATATATAGTGGTATATTGGTGTTGATTAATTTAATCAAGTAACGCGTCTGGCAAGTTGGAGTGTTACAGAATCCATTTTGAGGTCCATTTATTTATTTGAACTCTCTCGATCACATAAAACTTAATTGTTTCATCCTCAATATTCTTCAAAATTTCATTCCCAATCACAACTCTTATTTAATAAAAATCCAAAATGTTACACTTATCGTTTGGAATCTAACGATCAACATTGTTGTTGAACAGTAAAGAGTGAACAGTACAATGAATACTGCATTGAACAGTGATAACAAAGTGTTGCGAAGGTGGATGAGTCTTTAGTGATTGCGATGTGCTAGGAAAGGAGGCTCTGATACTGTGAAAGTTTTCTTGGCTGCAAATAATACTTTCTCTCACACCTTGTTCCCCAACTAGTCCCTGCCATCCCCCCATTGACAAGCATATCAAACATATCTCTCACTTCGTAATCTCACCACCACGTTACTATGATGGTGCCAGCCAATCCATAAATGCGAAATCACTAAAATCATCACCGTACATCTGTCACCACCACCAATCTCTACGTCCACGACACCATGATAGAAGCACCTAACACATAACAATTGTTTCAAGGTTGAAGTCCAATATGGCACTAATGCGTTTGGCTGAAAGGGGAAGATGTGTTCATCCATGCTGGTGGTTTGTTTTTTGTTCGTGTTTGAGCCTGTCTATCTTGCTAGGCTTTAGAAGCTCAATGTTCCTATAATTGTGGTTCAATCATTGATTTAGTAGCTCTGATGTTCATTTATACATTCAAAACATATTTCATTTAATTTTACTATAATTCATAACTTCTTGCGTTTTACCGGCTTGAATTTAGGATCCAGGCAAATTTCTTTCTTAAGACAAGATAAAGATGGAAATGCAAGAATGTCATTTTCTTCTTCTGATCCTGCTGATTTTTATATGTAATTGTTTGTTTACTGCACCTTGAAATAGCAGAAACGAGATTCTCTTGCCACTGGGTCTTGGAATATTCAGGATGAAATACGAAGAGTGCGCTCCAAGGCTACAGAAGATCTACTACGCACCCTTCCATCCACAAAAATTGATCTCTCTTCATATGCTCTAGAGCCTAAAAATACTGAAAATGCCTCGGTGGCTGATAAAGCAGTAGCGAGTATGGAAGATAAAGCACACGTGTTAAATGCTTTAACCACAACAAAACCAATAGATGCATCTCTAAACTTTGCCTCAGGAACAGGTCCTTATCATGGCTCTCCTCCAGGTTAGGCATTTAGTGGTACAAGGGAAAAATTAGTTGTTCTGTTACAGTAATATTTTGTCATGTAGTAGATAGGCAGTCTGATTTCCAAAACCATTTCAATTTTCATAATATGAGGAAACTAAATTGTAGAAAATCTAAGACATGGAACCTGGTCTTATGCAATTCAGTTTTGGAGATGGCACAAGATGGCTCACGGAATGATGCTGTGTCACCCAATGCAGCTACTTCTGTTACAGAACGAAATCAGGTACCTTATTACTGGAACTGGTTTCCATTTGTGATTCATTGTCTTTGTGCATTAGGAGCAGTTTGCAAGTTGTTATAATAGTAGTACTTTACTATGTATTGTGCTGTTATCTAATCAGAGAGAGAGAGAGAGGAGGGGGGGGGGGGTTCCTCGTAGTTTGAAATTCTGTTAAATATGGAGTTATAAAAGGTCTTAGATAAATCATCATCTGTGTTGCAAAGGATTTGACTGCCAATCCAACTGCTGAGGGAGGAGGTGCTGCCATAAAGTCTCGTGAATCTATGAATCTAGAGTTTGGAACAAGGCAGCTTGCTGGTACTTTCCTTTCTCTTCTATTCAGACTGTTGATCTACTGCTTTGTTAGTTTTAATTTCAACTTTTAATTGGATGAGACAATGTAGTATTAATCGACAAATTAGTTCTTGTGATTGCTATGAGGATTGAGATCCAAACACAAGGAGATATGTTAAGATCAAAATTTAACAAAATAGGACGCCTTTTTTTTTTTTTTCCTTTTTTTTCTTTTTGCTAGGATATTCATGTGCAATTGCACCAGTGTTGTAAAAGTCATGCCTAGGCTAAAGACAACTTGATGCACATCCTTTCATTGAAGTGTGTGCCTTCCGTGCCTCTGCAATTAAGCTCAAGGCATTGAGGTGCTCACTTTTTTTTTCCCAGTTGTCTTGATATAATTTGGGCTAGGTAGAAGTACCTTAACCCTAGATTTCGACATCGATATACTTCACTTGACATAATTGATCCTATTTCTTTGAGAGACAGATAAAAACAATGAATGGTTGCTCTCTTTTTTAAGGACATTGATGATTCTTTTTTTTAAAGTATCCAACACAACTAATTGACAGTGAGTAGAGAGACCCACAAGGCTCATGTACTAATTAATGAGATGTTATTTGATCAAATACAANAGAGAGAGGGGGGGGGGGGGGGGGGTTCCTCGTAGTTTGAAATTCTGTTAAATATGGAGTTATAAAAGGTCTTAGATAAATCATCATCTGTGTTGCAAAGGATTTGACTGCCAATCCAACTGCTGAGGGAGGAGGTGCTGCCATAAAGTCTCGTGAATCTATGAATCTAGAGTTTGGAACAAGGCAGCTTGCTGGTACTTTCCTTTCTCTTCTATTCAGACTGTTGATCTACTGCTTTGTTAGTTTTAATTTCAACTTTTAATTGGATGAGACAATGTAGTATTAATCGACAAATTAGTTCTTGTGATTGCTATGAGGATTGAGATCCAAACACAAGGAGATATGTTAAGATCAAAATTTAACAAAATAGGACGCCTTTTTTTTTTTTTTCCTTTTTTTTCTTTTTGCTAGGATATTCATGTGCAATTGCACCAGTGTTGTAAAAGTCATGCCTAGGCTAAAGACAACTTGATGCACATCCTTTCATTGAAGTGTGTGCCTTCCGTGCCTCTGCAATTAAGCTCAAGGCATTGAGGTGCTCACTTTTTTTTTCCCAGTTGTCTTGATATAATTTGGGCTAGGTAGAAGTACCTTAACCCTAGATTTCGACATCGATATACTTCACTTGACATAATTGATCCTATTTCTTTGAGAGACAGATAAAAACAATGAATGGTTGCTCTCTTTTTTAAGGACATTGATGATTCTTTTTTTTAAAGTATCCAACACAACTAATTGACAGTGAGTAGAGAGACCCACAAGGCTCATGTACTAATTAATGAGATGTTATTTGATCAAATACAAGACAAGATCTAACATTCCCCACAGGTGTGACCCCACTCATACGTGGAGAATAAACAGAATCATAATAAGACAGATTCATAGACATAATAACTGAACCTATGACATGCATAAAGGAGTTTGAGTAGTGTTATACTTACCAAATTTTTCATCCCAAATGATGTGGTACAACCTCTATCATTGAATATTAATAAGAGCTACTTATTTGATGGTGAAACTATGTCACATCATTTGGGATAGAGATTTGGTAAGCTCAAGGAGGAATCAATTTCGTGGATCAAAGAAATTAGTCTTGCCCAAGTACTCCCGAAGTAGTGTCCTAAAACCATCTTAAAGTGTTCAACTCAAAACCAATTGACTATGAGTGAAGAGGTCCCAAATGTCATATACTGCTTTGGGAGGTGATATTTTATCAATGTAGGCCAAGATTTAATATAGTTAAATTATCAAGTCGTTAGGTCTTGAGAGTCGAGGAAGTGAGAGAAGAAGACTATGGAAGAGAGTAGTATGTTAGAGTTACACTGCTACATCTCAATATATATATAAAATCAATAGGTACCAAAATTACCATTAAGGGTTACATCCTAATATAACTCAACATAACATAACATAAATCAACATAACGTAACACTCTCCCTCAAGTTGGTGCATAAATGTCTCTCATGCCCAACTTGCAAATGATCGGATAAAGAAGCTTGCTACTAAGCCCCTTTGTGAAAACATCGACCAACCGATCTTTTGATTTTACAAATGACATACAAATCAAACCCTTGTTTAGCTTCTGTAAGTGTTGATAAATCTTAACATGTTTAGTTCTATCATGTCGAACAGTATTGTGTGCATTATTGATAGCTACCTTATTATCACAGTNATCAAAATTTAACAAAATAGGACGCCTTTTTTTTTTTTTTCCTTTTTTTTCTTTTTGCTAGGATATTCATGTGCAATTGCACCAGTGTTGTAAAAGTCATGCCTAGGCTAAAGACAACTTGATGCACATCCTTTCATTGAAGTGTGTGCCTTCCGTGCCTCTGCAATTAAGCTCAAGGCATTGAGGTGCTCACTTTTTTTTTCCCAGTTGTCTTGATATAATTTGGGCTAGGTAGAAGTACCTTAACCCTAGATTTCGACATCGATATACTTCACTTGACATAATTGATCCTATTTCTTTGAGAGACAGATAAAAACAATGAATGGTTGCTCTCTTTTTTAAGGACATTGATGATTCTTTTTTTTAAAGTATCCAACACAACTAATTGACAGTGAGTAGAGAGACCCACAAGGCTCATGTACTAATTAATGAGATGTTATTTGATCAAATACAAGACAAGATCTAACATTCCCCACAGGTGTGACCCCACTCATACGTGGAGAATAAACAGAATCATAATAAGACAGATTCATAGACATAATAACTGAACCTATGACATGCATAAAGGAGTTTGAGTAGTGTTATACTTACCAAATTTTTCATCCCAAATGATGTGGTACAACCTCTATCATTGAATATTAATAAGAGCTACTTATTTGATGGTGAAACTATGTCACATCATTTGGGATAGAGATTTGGTAAGCTCAAGGAGGAATCAATTTCGTGGATCAAAGAAATTAGTCTTGCCCAAGTACTCCCGAAGTAGTGTCCTAAAACCATCTTAAAGTGTTCAACTCAAAACCAATTGACTATGAGTGAAGAGGTCCCAAATGTCATATACTGCTTTGGGAGGTGATATTTTATCAATGTAGGCCAAGATTTAATATAGTTAAATTATCAAGTCGTTAGGTCTTGAGAGTCGAGGAAGTGAGAGAAGAAGACTATGGAAGAGAGTAGTATGTTAGAGTTACACTGCTACATCTCAATATATATATAAAATCAATAGGTACCAAAATTACCATTAAGGGTTACATCCTAATATAACTCAACATAACATAACATAAATCAACATAACGTAACACTCTCCCTCAAGTTGGTGCATAAATGTCTCTCATGCCCAACTTGCAAATGATCGGATAAAGAAGCTTGCTACTAAGCCCCTTTGTGAAAACATCGACCAACCGATCTTTTGATTTTACAAATGACATACAAATCAAACCCTTGTTTAGCTTCTGTAAGTGTTGATAAATCTTAACATGTTTAGTTCTATCATGTCGAACAGTATTGTGTGCATTATTGATAGCTACCTTATTATCACAGTCATAGTTGTCAAATCGTGTATCGGAAGGTGTATCGTTTTTTAAAAATAGTGTATCGAATAGTATCGTGTATCGTAAGATACGCATAATTTTAATTTTTAAATAAATATTAATAAAATATATGTATATACCTTTATAACAAAGTCATAGACTCATAATAATATAGTATTTAATTAATATTCTACCAACTATTTAAGTTTTCAACATAGTTCAATAATATCAAAATGTAAAGACCTCTAATTCAAATTTCTAACATTAACTACTTGAACAACTTTAATATTAATCAGGAATTTTGAATTTAATTAAACAACATTAACATTAGACTTTATTTATTTTTTTTAAACTATAACCACTGAAACGACGTTATTTCACTGGCTAGTGATTTAAAGATAAGTCTTAGAGTAAAACGATATCATTTTAACTCCAAAAAATAAAAAAATAATAAAAAATAGAATCGTCATGTATCGTACGTTTCGGGTGTATCGTATCGTACGTAGCGTATCGTGTATCGTACAATATGGTACAAAAATGATACAAAGACACGATACATATCGTTTTTCAGGTGTATCGTGACGTATCGTACGATACGAATTGCATATCGTACGATACTAATAACTATGATCACAGTATAGTCTCATAGGCTCTTCACCACGAATTCCAAGCTCATTCAACAGGATTTGGAGTCATATAAGCTCACAAACTCCATGGGCCATTGCTTTGTATTTAGCCTCTTTACCAGACCTAGCTGCTACTGGTTGCTTTTTACTGTGTCATGTGACAGTATTTCCTCCTATGGAGCAGTAGGCTTAAGTGGACCTTCTGTCGTATACTGAATCTGCCCAGTTTGCATCCGTGAATCTATTTAGTTTCAAATGACTATTATTAGAGAACAAGATCTTTTTTCCTGGGGCTGACTTGAGATACCTCAAAAAATGCGATGAATAGTTTTAAGATGAGGAATTCGAAGATCATGCATGAGTTGACTCACAATCCCCACTCCCCACTGTATAAGTAATATTTGGCCGATTATGAGAGAGATATATTTGTCTCCCCTCTAATTTCTGGTATTTCTCTTTATTCATAACATCACTAACACCACTCATCAGTCGATTGTTGACTTCAATAGAAAAATTTACAAGTCTACATCCCAACATCCCGATTTCTACAAGTAGGTCAAAAACATATTTCCTCTTGGAGATAAAAATGTCTTTGTTTGATCTGGCAACTTCGATTCCAAAAAAATATGTCGATGGACCCAAATGTTTGATTTCAAACTCTCTAGCCAATTGGGTTTTTAGTTTGGTGATTTCATGCACATCATTCCCGGTTATCACTATATCATTTACATATACAATAAGGACTACTATTTTGTCATCTACCTGCCTGATGAGCATAGTATGATCCACATAACTCTTGAGTATATCCAAATTTTAGCATGGCTTTGTGAAACCTATCAAACCAGGTTCTAGGTGATGTTTCAATCCATTAAATGGCTTCTTCAACTTGCACACTTTTCCTTCAATTACCTAAGATAAAAAACTAGGTCGAATTTCTATATATACCTCTTCTTTCAAGTCTCCATGGAGAAAGGTATCCTTTATATCTAACTGTTGTAGACGCCATCACAAATTATCTACACAAGAGAGA